CCTATGGGGATCAGACCACTGTGGGAGTGCCACTCATCCTGCTCAGCTGTGCTCCAGCCCACCGAGCGGTGCTCCCACTGCGGTAGCACACTGACCACCAGGGGGCAGTTCCTGTATTGAGCATTTGTCCCCCGGTGGTCAGTGCATGTCATAGTGACTGGTCGACTGGTCCTTCTGGTCGTTCTGCTGTTTGGTCGCTGAGCTTTCCTTATAGAAGATGTCACTCCAATAAATTTAACTTTTAAGCAATGAATGAAAGAAATGAGCATTGTTTCAAGTGTTATAGGTTGTCAGTACTTACCTGCTAATTGGGACGTTTACATACAGAGAGGGCACAAGGAAAGGAATGTGCCTCCCAACCCCCCTCCTCGCTTTAAAGAAATTGAATCAAATGCTATGATCATGGCGCTGGAGTAAGAGTTCCTCCATTCTCTAATCATGTAAACACACAGAGTTTTTATTTTTATTTTTCAATTATAGTTTAAGATTATATGGGTTTCCGGCGTACATCACAGTGGTTAGACATTTGTATAATTCACCAAGTGATCCCCCCGAAAAGTCTGGTCCCCCCCCCCCGCAGCATCCATAGTTATTAACGATCTTATTGACTATTTCCCCTATGCATGTAATCATATTTTAATTTAAAAACTATGACCCTCCATGTCATAATCAATAAATTATTGATGGTATCATTTGTGGTGACCATGCAATGCTACATGCATGGGAAGTATTGATTATTGAGTTCCACAGTGTCAGTGGCTAGTATTAATTTAAACTCTTCTTCCAATGGAATTCTTGCCTCTTGATCCAATGCTAATGGAGACCACTCCGTCTGCTGCCAGAATGAGAGTTTTTAGTCTAGAAAACAGTCTTTTTTTCCCTCAGAGTCCACATTGAAGATTCCCAAGAATGCCCGAAGAATGACATATGGGGAAAAGGGTCCTTGAGGCCACAAAGCCGAACCAGATCACGGAGGATTAACAGAATTCTCCCTCGGTATTTTCTCAGGCTCGACATAAAGGATATGAACGCAGAAACCATGACGTTGTTCACGACGGTAACAAACAGAAACTCCCACCTGCACGTCACGGACCAGTCTTGGGCAAAGAAGGAAGGCAGGGAAGTCAGTTGTAATCTGGGGGACGTAAGTCTTTCTCGGTCCGTCCTGCGGCTGCCTGACCTGCCTTGGCATTTAATCTCTCCAGACTCGAGAAGAACTCAGCCACCATTCTGAGGACCTGCCTCCATCCTGCCCTCCCTACAATGTGTTGGGCAGGAATTCCGGTCGCGGCTGGGATGCAGGAAAACGAGTTATGGTTTTGGGACTTGATGGAGTCAAACACTTTCTCTATAAAACTCCTACAATGTCCACAAGAGTAAGAAACGCATCCTGTAAAGTAATAAAATGTCACAATGCATCGGGAAAACGTTCCCTTCTATGAAGGGGCCTTGTGGAGTCACTAATTGAATTGGAGACCTGTGGTCCCTTCACTCCTGTACAGGGAGGGTTGCCAACAGGTACCCCTCAGCGTCCCTTGAGCAGAAACTCTCAGGTTCCATTCCCACCTTTGTGTTTCTACATCAACTGCTTCATCCCGATTTCCTTACCCTCCAATGGAATTGCTTCCCTTATCTCACCCATCTCTGCTCAGGAATGTACAGGTGTCCCATGGGGCAGAGCAACTTCCCCCTGAATTCCAAGATATGTGAGATCTGTGTGATCTCATTAAATCCTCTCCTTTTATTATTTCTTTCAAAGGGGAGGTGGAGAGTTGGCATCTTGAATAACTTTCCCGGCTGTGACAGCCCATGTGTGGCACCGCATTGGGAAGCACTGGGGGACACGGTAGGAGTGCCCAACCAGTGACAGGGAGCCATCATGCAAGTTGGGTGGTTTGAGGTACACGAGGGCTGAAAATCTCTTTCTGGAGAACAAGCACATGGGTAGGGGTTCTCTTTTTACACACTTTGCCAACAGGCATCTCTCTGTTCCGTCCATCTGTCCTTCTGAGCCTTTCACTCTCTCCCTCGTCCCATGTGTGATCTCCTGTCATCCTGTTGGGGACGGTCTGCCTCTGACTCCCCCCGACACCCCATCCTGCTCTCAGTCTCCAGGTGCAGGGAGTGCGGCCAATGCATTTTCCACCAGGTTTGGAACAACGCACTTTCCCAACAGGAATATATGAGACAGAACGAGTCCACATTCTTGTGAACAATTGGTTTTGTCTGACTCTGTCATTCTCAATGCTGGGAGGTGGGCAGCAATATCACATGAGGGCTGAATTCAATTTCTCCTCTGACTACAACTGTTGGGCAATTTTTGTAAGGGTCCGGGCCATGTAACCATCCTCAGAGGACGATGGATTGGACACAGTGTTCAAGAGTAGGTGGGACTCTAGTAAGGTGCCAGCATCTTCAATTATTGGGACACTGTTGCAATTAATGGATCTGAGAAAGTGTCTGTTCTTTGCCCCTGGCTCCTGGCACTGAGCTCCTAAAACCCTGGCATATCGTGAGTGCCAAGTGTCTTTGGGACGCGGCTGAGATGGCTATTGGCTGAGGGTCTTGGAGAGAGTCAGGGTGGGGGCTGGTCCCCAGGAAGACCAAGCTGATCAGAGCGTTGGAACCTTCAGGCCCTAGAAGGAGACAAGAGCAGGAGGAGCCTGAAATGCATCTCTCTAACCAGAGTCCTGTGTGCAGGGACCCCTGGGCCTGCGGGACAAAGACGGCAAAAATGAGCCCTGATACTGTCAGACGGGGACACTCAGAGAATGAGACCAAAACACCTACACAAACACAGTAACAGGCATCATATCCACAAAAGCAAAGAAACAACAAACACCCAGAAGAGAGGTTCTGAGGGACTGACACCGACCTGAGCCTCGGATGACGAGGGGCCTGGAGATGTGATTCATTCGAACAAGTGACAAGGCCTGTGTGTCCCTGTGAGCACAGGTCCTGGTGGGACACGGAACACTGAGGGACAAGGTCAGAGGAGCAGAGAGGTGACCCAGTTGAGGAGTGACCATGTCAAAGCCCACCACTTGAGCACAGGCCCCGAGCACACTCCACCCTCACAGCCTCTCCCGTGTTACACCCCGAGTGGGAGCAGAACCCCGTGTCTACATTTCAGTGATGAACTAGAAACCCAAGGGGCACCTCTATACCTGGCACCTTCCACACTGTCTCACAGGGTGTATCCATCCCATCCGCCAAATTAGAGGATCAGCCGTGTAAAAACATGCAGGTTTGAGAAGCAACTCACTGAAAACCAAGCTCCTACCTCGGTTTTCTCTGTAACATGCCAGAGTCTCACAGAAATAGGAATGGACTAAACATACAGACAATGGGTAAAACAACCCTTCATTCTGCAATGTGTTTATCTTCCTCTAGAAAATAACCTCTCCACTGACGCAGGACACCAGACATGTGCCCATGGAAGGCGGGTATTGCTCATATCCACCCTGAGATTAAATTTACATAAAATCTTCAATATTTCTTAAAAAAGAGAGACTTCTTTCAACAGCTGCATTGCTCAAAGGGAAGCATATTTCCTCAATAATTTCATGTAACTTTATTAACCTCCATAGATTAGGAATTTCCTTTAACATCTCCCAGGGTAACATTCATTTCACATTGACTGTTGTGGATTTTATATGATAAATGGTATTGATGAAATGATTATTGAATAAGGATCATTATTGATGATTTCTACATATTTATCATCTCAACTGTGATTTCACGAACCCAGGAGTTCCAGGGCCCCTCAGGAGCAGCAGGGAGGGGCTGACAGGGGAGAACACGGCCCTACAAGGAGGCAGGAGCCCTGTGGGACAATGACAGGGAACATGTACCCTGTTCTCTCAGAGGGGGGCACCCAGACAGTGAGACCATAACCTACACATGAAAACAGTAACAGGCATAATATCTACAAAATCCAAGAAACAACAAACACCCAGGAGATCAGGGTGGGGGGCGGGACCAGGGTCTGAGCCCAGGCTGACCTGCCCCAGGAAGGCCTCGCTGTCCAGGGTCCTGGAGATGCACTGCATTAGGACACGTGACAAGGCCTGGGGGATGTGAGTCCCTGTGACCACAGGTCCTGGTGGGACAGGGTTCCACTGAGGGACAAGGTTAGGTGACCCAGCCAAGGAGTGACCACATCAAAGCTCACGATGCACTGAGCACTGACCAGGCACAGGCCCCGGAGTCACTCCATGCTCATAGCCCCTCCCGTCCCACCTGAGACAGGCTCAGCACTACAAACACACAGGACCTGCAAAGCTCTCAGTGTTTCCATCCATTTCCTTTCAAACTTTAGGATTTTCTTCTTTAATTTACCCATCAAGGATTCATGGCAAACAATGAACATAGTCACATCAGAGTCTCATTTCAATTTGGGAGAAAGATCTTGTAGCTCAGAGCACCAAGGAGTAACGAGAGTGATGGGGAGGGCCCAGCCCCCTTTGCTGAATTTCTCAAGCCGCGGCCTCTCCAACAGGCCTCCAGCTGTGAGACTGAGAGGAGGGCGGCCCCCAGGCGCGTGGCGACTTGGGGAGGAGGTGACTCTGTTGGTGAGAGAAGCCCCTTCCCCTCCACATGGAGAGGCTCCTGCTCTGAGTCACCTGCCCATGTCTCTGGGACTCGCTATTGCTCAGCGCAGGCCTGTCCCCTGCGCTTCCATGGAGACAGCACAGCGCACAGAGCTCTCAGAAACCGCCGCCTCTGGGGACACAGCGCCCGGGACGTGAGGGGCCCCACGGGGCACAGGGCGACCCAAGAAGCCTTCCCGGAGGGGGTGGCGGGAAGGACCAGCCCAGGACTCAGACCCACAGAGCTGCTGGGAGACACGCAGCCTCCTTTGTGGGTCCCTGGCCACCCGACTACACACCGGTCCCTCCAACCGCATCCGGGACATGGTCTGCAGTCCTTCCTAGGCTCCTGGACCACGGTCTGCCAGGGTGGCCCTGGCAGGGATGAGTCTGAGTCGGGGTCAGGGTCTAGGGTATTAGTTGAGGGTGGGGCTGAGGCAACCACAGGGGCTCCTGGGTTGGGGTATCATGGACATTGTGTCCACACGTCTACACACTTCTAACAGTATCTCGCATGCTATTCATACTTGCCTTGTTTTTCTTTGGTTTATGTTGGTTTCATATTATTTCCCCTAAAGATTTATCGAGAAGAAATCAAGATGGCGGCATAGGTAAACACCGGAAATTGCTGCCTCTGACAACAATTTCAAAAATACAACTACAAGACAAAATGGACATCACCCAGAACTACAGGAAGGCTGGCTGAGTGGAAATTCTACAACTATAAGGAAATAG